TTCAGTCTGCTTTGGTTAAAACTTCACTACCTTAAAGTTAAATTAGATCATGCTTACTTCTGAAATTTATTTGTGTTATAGAGAATTCTTTTAAAATATGAATGCATTTTTTTAATTCAGTTATGGAAAAAATTCTTTAAAATAAAATCTACTTTTGAAGATTCATCTATTCATGGTAGTGTTAAAGTGTCAAGTGTACGATCTCATATTTGTTATCATTTGAATTTCACTCCCACTCGGCTATTTTCCTGAATCCGCCCCGGAGTATGGTAGCAAAAGTGTAAATAATACATAAGAAAATACTACACTTGTGTCTAAAAGGTGTAACAGTTACTTTAAGGTGTAACAGTTCCAAAAGGTGTTTAAAAGGTGTAACAGTTCCAAAAGATGTCTCGAAAACTATAACTAATAAAATAAAATAAAATAAAATAAAAACTTTTCGCTACATCTTCTTCTAAAATGTGTCTCGAAAAGTATAACTAATAAAATAATAAAGAAAACACTTTTCGTGACACCCGCCACTAGGGGTGTAGCGAAAAGTACTAAAAAAAAATTACTTTTTATTTTTTTTTTTTAAAAAAAACAATAATACAAATCTCCTTCAATATTAAATTGACATGTTAGTTTCCTGACCCGAGATGATCACTGGACGGATCATAATAACCAATTGAATCAACAAAATATATAAGTAATTTGAAAGGTATAAGGAAAAGACAATTTAATTCTTTTTTGTAAGTAATTCGTACATGTAGTGTCATTGTACGTTGATGGAGCTGTTTTCTATAGGGAGATGATCCCCCTCTTTGAATTTTACTTTCCTAACTAGTAGTTACGTTGTACATGGTAGTGGCAATTTATGGACAATAAATGAAATTTATGGGTAATTTATAGGTAATAAATGAGTGATAAATTGGTAATAAATTGGGTAACTAATGGGTAATTAAGGGATAGTTATTTGGGAGTTATGGCAGGGTGTTTGGTATTCATCATCAATCATTCATTTTCTTGTGTCTCGCGAAGTATGGCGAATGAAAGTATATTGTCCCGTCTCAAAATCAATTCAACACCACCATAGCTAAATTCTTAATCAAAAATTTTCGACTCCTTTTACAAAGAGACGCGGTATATTATTTACTATGGATAGAAATAGATAACTCTAACGGTACATTTATTATACTGCGGGACGTTTCCCCATCCAACCCCGGACACTCAGCAAACTTAGTTTGGGTTTGAACCACGGAGACAAGTACTATTCCCTCTTTTAATTTCTCTACGCTTCAACATGTGTCATCTAACAATAACATGTGACTAATACACAATACTTACACGTCATTTAATTTTTTTTGCACTTTTGGTCCCACAAGTATTGTGGCATTAACAATTTTGATTCGTCCACAACTTTCAAAAGTTGCATAATTGGTTCATGAGTATCAATTTCTTAGCGTAAATGGTCCTTTTGGTGAAATCTCCGTCAATCTTTCACCATAAAAATTATTTCCCCTTTATGGCCTGGATATAATGGTCTTTTTTCTTTTCGTCAATTTTTAATTTCGCACTATTGGTTCTATGAGTATTGCGGCACTAACAATGTTGATCCACAACTTTTAAAACTTGCATAATTGGTCCACGAGTATCAATTTCTTAGCGCAAATGGTCCTTGCGGTGATTTGCACTAAGAAATTGATACTCGTGAACCAAGTATGCAACTTTTGAAAGTTGTGGATTAACATTGCTAGTGCCATAACACTCGTGGGAACAAAAATACGAAAAACTAAAAATTGATGAAAAAAACCATTATACCCCTACTATAATTAGAAAATAGTTTTTTTTTTTTTTTTTCTGGTGAAAATTTGACAAAGATTTCATCGGAATGATCATTTACACTAAGAAATTGATGCTCATAGACCAACTATGCAAATATTGAAAGTTATAGATCAAAATTGTTAGTGTCACAATACTCGTTGGACAAAAAGTGAAAAAAGAAAATTTGAAAAATTATAAATTTCCGTCCAAATTATTCGCATTTCTCAGATTTAAGGTGTGGTTTGCATAAATGATTGAATATCAATATTTACTTTTGACTGGAGAGCTCGAGATAATGCATGTGCTTTAATTTAATTTGGAAGTATTCCCAATTCCCATCCTCCATTCATTGGATGTAGTCCAACATAGTACATTCATTGATAAGGGTACATAACTACATAGTACATTAGGGCCCCGGAGAAAATTAGTACACTTTCAAATACCATTCGTCTTTTTTGATGAGAGTATATTAGAGCATCCACATTAATATGAATGTTTTGTCGATCCTCCCAATTTCCCATTCTCCTAAATGTTCTGTCGGGTCGGAGTGTGAGCGGGTCTTTAGAGTTGGGGTTCAACCTTTTGAAAGAATGAATTTTTTGTTTTTTTTTTTTTTTTTTTCCAGATATGTGTAGAAGAGAGAAAAATATAGGGAAGAGAATGAAGGAAAAAAAAAAAAAACCAGAAACTGACATTATAAAAACAACATAAATGGATTCTCTCACGCGCCCCGCTAGGCGCAGCTGTCCCCGCCACGTGATTTTTTTTTATTTGCTTTGTTTTCTTCTCTAATGCAGTGAACCCCACAAAAATTTATCATTTATCGGAGAAAAAACATTAAAAAAAAATTAAAAAATCCTACCCCACATTAGTTAAAAATCAACACACAAATTTTTTACTATATACTATTTTAAAAACCAACAAAAATCCATTAATATTGATGCTCTTACACTCTTTAAAAAATATTATATTCCATTAAAAAATAAAATAACATGAATCAAATATAAAAATATAAATTTTGAAATGTCACATTTAATTATACTCTATAACTTCAACCAAACACTCCTAATTGTGAAATTTTACAGTCGGTTCAGTCACTGTGCTGCTTTTAGAGCATCCACATTGGTTGGAGAGAATGTGGAGATAATGTAAGAGTGATTAGAAAAGAGAATGTGGGAGGGGAGAGAAAAAAAAAAAAAGAAAAAACAAAACAAAAAAAATTAAAAAAAAAAAAATTAAGTAATCTGACGCGCCACCGGGCGCGTGCAGTGCACGCGCCCGGCTTTCCTCTTGGACTGCGCGAGACGCGCAGTCCGTGCGTTGGCTGCATTTCTTTTCATTTTTTTTTCTGACATTATGTTTGAACTTGCAGGATAAATATTTCAACAAATAACCACACCCCACATTTGTTATTATCCCCATCTAAAATAATTCATCTGACATTATCTCCCTAATATCCACTGATGTGGATGCTCTTATTGAAATGTTCACAAATGACACATTTAGCACGTGATTCACGGTATCACGGTTCATTCAGAAAACAATCAATGATCTTCAACAACACAGACGGACCACATTTGCCTGTGTCATGACACATTGACACGTATATCACTCTATATATGTTCTTTTTTTTTTTTTTTTTTTTTCTTTTTTTTTTTTTTTTTTTTTTGTATTTTTTTTTTTAAATGTGTATACAACTATATAAGTCTATCATGTTAGGCAAAGGCAATAAATGTTGAAAGGGACAAGTCTAATATCGTACATCTAAACATAGTTTTTTTGTTCTTTTGATCTCATGATTATTGTGATACAAATGTGAATCCAAAACTTTCAAAATTTACATAATTAGTTTATAAGTATCAATTTTTCTAAAAAATGATCATTCCGGTGACATTTCTGACAAATTTTCACCTGAAAATGACTTATTTCTGGTGAAAATTTTATGGAAATGTCACCAGAACTCCACCAGAAGGACCATTTTCGCTAAATAAATTGATACTCGTGGTCATTATGGATCAATTACGCAAATTTTGAAAGTTACTTACACTATTAGTGTCAAAATACTCATGAGACCAGAAGTGCAATAAACTCCTAAAAAATATAAGTATTCATTATGTGTTATAGATTTTCATTTGATTGTAACAAGTGGAAGGACATAAACCGATATGGTAAGCTCTTCATTCTAATATACTTCTTCCGTCCCATTTTATGTGTCTGGTTCAATTAATGAGGTTGACTGAAACTATTTTTAATCCAATTTTTCATAATATTAAGTTTAGTATTAGTGTACAAAATTTACATATTTAGAAAGAGTTAATTCCAATTTTAGTCCTACAACTATTGGTGTGTTGTTAATTTGAGTCCACAACTTTCAAAATTAATAATTTAGTACCCTAACTATTCAATTTGTATCAATTTTAGTCAGTCCGGCCAAATTGTAGGTCGATTATCGTCGGAATCTTTTAATTCAATGTTAAAATGGAAGCTAATTTGAAAACCATTGTTTGAATTAATACAGAGGCAGGTGAGATATGGATAAAAATTAATGACAATTGGTCGCAAATTTGGTCAAACAGACTAAAATTGATAAAAATTGAATAGTTAGGGTATTAAATTGTTAGTTTTGAAAATCGTGAACTGAAATGGACAATACCCCAATAAACATAAGACCAAAAGTGAAATTAACTCTATTTAGAAACTACACTAAAAGCACTTAGGGTCCGTTTAAAAACCTGAAAAATAACTTCTGGAAAACATTTTCCGACTTTTCAGTGTTTGAATGCAACAGGAAAATATAGTCAACAGAAAACATTTTCCGTTGACTGAGGAAAATGAAGCCATTTTGGTGGAAAATGACTTCCGCCAAAATTTGACGGAGTCATTTTCCGCCACAATGTTTAAACATACAATTTTACTCATTTTTCAAAAAATATTTTTCAGAAGTCATTTTCCTTGTTTTCCAAACCAACCCTTAAACACAAAAGGAAAATACTTGGTGTACTCCTATTTTATACTTCCTCTCACATGTTCTTGATGTAGACATTTTTCTTTGAATTCACACATATGAAAATAACTAATCCTGATTTGACACCTCAATGAGTACAAATTAGGGAGTAAAATTTAGAAGTAGTAGAACTCAACACAAAAAATGGGGAAAGAAGAGTATCTAAACACTATAAAAAGGCGTCTGCAGAAGCAGACTTTCTGCAAATATAGATATAGATAGCGTTATTGCCTGTTTGGTTCGATGCTAACAAGTCTCGTGATTAATTCACAGTTTCACACGTACTCTTGAAATTATTTAGTTTTCCAGCTGTCAACTTTCTCTTCTCCATCTTCCAAATTCCAATACATCTCTGCAGATTTTGATAACTTCATCAAGAACTAACAGTGACAACATGATGAATCTTTCCCAAGCTTGTTTTTCTGGAATGGTACGACGTTGTGTATACTGTGATCTATGCATTCAAATCTCTGCAGATTTTTAAAACATTGTTATATTATGTTTCTTTTACAGGGAACGGACGATCTGTCATTCCTGGATCAGTTTCAAATCTTGCAGTCGATTGAGCAAGAATTTGCGGGTGTACTCGGAGAAGATGTCCTTTGCTCTTCTTCGCCGGAAGAGGGGTCGCCGCCGACGACTTGCCATCTCGGCGAAGATGACAGACCGTTAAAACAACTCAAGATCCACCATCATCCTAACATTGACGACGTTAACCTGCCGGAGCTGCGTCAAGAACTGCTCACCAGTAACGCAATCGCCGAGCAGGAAACGGAGCCGGCGGATACGACGACGATAAAGCCGAAAAAATCCGGTAGGCGTGGCCGGCCACCTACCCATAGGTATGATCATATATTGGCGGAAAGGAAACGACGGGAGCTTCTTAGCCGTCAATTTCTAGCGTTGTCTACCATAGTCCCCGGCCTCCGAAAGGTCTCCGATCCGATACACGTGTATATACATATTATATTCGATCCGACAAATAACTGTTTCTTATAATATTTTATTTATTTAATTATTCCGTGGAAAAAATATTTTTAAAATGTTTCTTGAATAAAATATACACAGATGGATAAAACATCGGTTCTTGGAGATACGATCAAGTATTTGAAACAAATACAAGAACGTGTGAAGACACTGGAGGAAGAATCGAGCAAGCGAACCATGGAGTCGGTCGTGTTCGTCAAAAAATCCCAGGTATCATTCGATGACGACGATGAAATGTCGTCCGGCGAAAAAGGGAACTCCGATGAGCAATCGCTGCCGGAGATTGAGACTAGGTTGTGTGACAATCACATTCTACTAAGAATATACTGCGACCGACAGAAAGGGATAATCGGAAAAATATTTTCCGAGGTGGAGAAGCTTAACCTAGCTGTGGTAAACTCGAGCGTGGCACGTTTTGGGAGCTTGGCTCTTGATATCACTATTATTGTCGAGGTAATTACTATTATATTAATCTTTAACTAGATTAAATCAATTATTGGGGCACCTTGGTGCTTGAAGATCCTCCGAAGAGAACACAATCAATTATTTACTATTTATCCAGCATCCCATTAAGATCTTTTAATTATTATTAGTTATTCAAGTTCTAAATTATTTTTTGTTTGTATTTTTGTTATTTTCAGATGGAGAAAGAGTTTGACTTGCCGATGAAACATATTGCAAAGATCCTTCGTTCGGCAATCCAACATGCTGCACAAACATCCTGAACAAGAATAAGTTTTATGTATGAGTATCTCATTTGAGATATGTAATATTTCTAATTAAAATATAATACTTTTCTATAGTTCCATTTAAAAAGTATTATCTTTTAATTAAAAATATTAGATGCCTCAAGGAAAATAATCCCAGAAAACATAATCCTTGAACTATGCATGCAGCAATTTTCACAATTCAAGAGGCCGAGTTTTTATTTTTATTTCTGGACTTTTTTTTTTTTTTTCAGTTCAGGGACATTTTGGTCATCATACTCATTATTTCTTACAATTTTAAATTCAAGCAAATAATGAAATCAATATTCCCAATAATTTATTTTTATAGAATTTAAATTTTATTCCTCCTCAAATATTTTTAGTGGATTAAACAAGCCATTAATGTAATATACTTTATTATTTATGAGTATCTATTTTTAATTTGATTTTTTTTGTCGTATAAAAAAATGAATAATTGGCATCAAATTTGATTTAGGGATTGATGGAAGTTTAATTTTATAGGTACGCCACTAGGCCACAATAACTTTTCCCCGAACAAGTATACAAGAGTAGGTTTAAAAAAAAAAAAACCGTACACGAACGTAACGTCAATAGTAATTGCGAAGATCGTGATCCACATAATTGTGTGGACCACGATTCAAAAAGAATGTCCTCTCATATAATTTTTATTTTTACGTGACTCACTGCAATATATATTTTTATAACTCAAAATATTCATTATTCTAAAGTATAATGTACATTCTCCTACTCAAAAATTTTATTATTTTAATAGATATGTACATTATTATTCTCCACATAATATACATTATTCTAATTCATAAAATTCAAGAATATTACTTTAGACCGTACTTCACACACCTTATGGACCACATTGCACGCAATAATTTGTCGCGTAAAGTAATGTATTCTTTAATAGCCATCATGGGGACGCGGAGCATCGTGCAAAACCCAGAAAAAAAAAAAGTCACAAAACAATCAGTTTTCTACTTGTCTGAGTTGTCTCACCCTAAAAATGAAAAAATAAAAATAAAAATCTTCTAGATAAATTTCGCTGTTGCCCTTTCATTGGTCGTTTCGGTATTTTGTTCTATTTTTTTCCCATTTTGGTTCAGTTTTGATTTATTCGGTTTAAAAAGAAAATGAAACCATTCGTTTTAACATTTTAGTTCAGTTTCACTGTTTCAGTTTCAGTTGAATTTGAAAAAGTTTGGTTTCAATTTGGTTTAGGAACCTCAAGTCTCAGAATTTCCTAGTATTGTAGTGCAAAAGAATAATTAATTAATTAATTATTTATTTATTTATTTATACTAATAATTTGGATTAAAAATCTATTCTGCATCCATTGAGGTCAATCAAGCTCATTTAATGAGATTATAACACCTTTTAAAATATTTTGGAGAACCCAAATGAACCATGATAGTGTTCTGTTTATAATTTATTTATATGGTCTAACAAACTTTTTTGTTAAGGTTCAGATCAGCCAGCAAAATCATAAATAACTGAAATAGAAAGGAAAAGAAAATCACACAAATGAAAAGCACATGACTATAACAATGAACAATAGCGTTCCACTCCCATATATAATATTTTCAGTTTAAGTGTTCATACAAATTGACTTCATGCATCAATTCTCAGGCACAATAATTATTATTATTATTTTTTGAATAAAGTCACGTTTCACTCCCAAGCTCAACAATAATGTCGCATTTCACATTCATACAATAAAAATTGAGTTCCAATTTTATTGAATGCATTAATTATGTTGAACACCTAAATTTAACTCAGAGAAAATGCTCATAGCCTCACATACATATGCAAGCATATAAACTTAGGCAATGGCGGTGTTCGTTGCGATTAAGAATTTAATAATTAGGGATTTGGATTTACTTCTTCTCTTAGTATTATTAAAAACTCCTCGAATTGCCTACCCTTACCTTAGTTTTTATGGTCATGTGTAACAGGCTCGATCGAGATTATGTTGGCAAGAGCGACTCTTATTTTGATTCGCACCCCTCGCGCACGAAAGAAAGTCTCTATGGTATACAATTTAATCTCCTAAAAAGTTCTTGCATATATAGTGGTGCAACTCCACTTCCAAATCAATGTGGGGTAGTACAAGTGTTTTTACAAAGTCTTTTCACTTTCATTCCCAACTCAAATGGATTTATTTTGAGAATCAATTTCTCATTTACTCATTATCCGTTTTGAGCGTACAACATATCATTTTTTTCATCTCACTACGAAGAGTGTGAATCCACTTTAATCCGACCCAAATCAAATATAAATCTACATATATTTATACCACAATATAAATATTTACATGCCATTTTATGCTAAAAGTTTCAAAACTTATCTCTCCGGGATGAACTTTATTGCCAACTATGCTGAATGTTATTTTGTCCCAATAGATTGGGACGGTGAGTGACGCAACTTAGTAAAGCTACACGACAAAAATCGATATCAGTTCGGCTAGCTATCTATTGTTGGTATCTCGAGTATTTATGGCAAACTTTTCGGTGTTCTTTATTAAAAATAAACAAGTGTTAAGTATTTAACACAAGTATGTAAAACAGTTTGTGAGTAGATTTTAATATAACGGTAAAATTAAAGGAAAGAGTTTTGGGTGAAATTTTTGGTTAGATTCTTATAAGATGTGTATGTTAAAAAGTTATGTGATATGTTTTTTTTCATGTAAAATTTAAATTATATGATAGTAATTCGAAATAATCTCATAATGATAGGATACCGAATGTTATATATTCTTTAATATTAAATTTAATTTTTATATTTACGTCACTTGTATAAGTTATATTATATATATATATATATATATATATATATATATATATATATACACACACTCATGATTTCTATCATCAGACACATTGACTAATTCTCTCGCTGAATTGTATAAGTAATATTATAAACATTACTATAATATTATAAACATACATAAAGGATGAAAATTGTATATTCTTCCACATAATTAATTTCTTAAGCTTCTAAATGATTTAGTTGGGCTACTAATGATGGCCCTTCTGCCAGGCTTAATGGACCGAGTCCCGTACCAATACTTCTCCAAGAGACTTTATTCAATCGTAATATCGTGTACCAGGGCGCACAATGCATCGTGTGCTTTAAAAAAATTTCTATTTTGTATATACATAATTGTATAATAAAATACACATAAACTCCTAACATAATACACATAATCTAACATAATATATAATAGACATAAACTCTTAACGTAACACACACACACAAAATTGTAACGGGAATACGGGATTGGACAGACGGAACGTTATCTGTCGCGTCAACTCTCCCAACTTATAGAAACGTCGTCGTTTTGGGTCAAGGAGCACGATATAATTTGCCGACTTTATTAGTTTTATTTGACGATATTGCTCTGTTTTGCAGTTTTATTTTGCACACCCACTAGTTTCATTATAGCAATACCAAAGTATTATTTTTTTTTTTTGAAAATTACCAAAGTATTATTTTAATTCTACTACAATTTAATTTGACAATATACATTATTGTATGAGCTCTATTTTGTAGTTTTGTTTTCCACACATACTAGTTTAATTATAATAATACTAAAGTATTATTTTAATTACACTTCACGTTCATATGACAATATATGTTATTGTATGGTTTTGGATTTTAGTTTAATATTTCACACACACTAAGCTAGTTTCATTTTAACAACATTAAAGTATCATTTTAATTATACTACAGTTTCATTTGAAAAAATATACATTGTTAAATGAGTTCTGTTATTACAGTATCATTTTAATTATACTACAGTTTCATTTGACAATATACATCATTACATTGTTGCACACTGTTATTAAAGTATCATTTTAATTATACTACAGTTTCATTTGACAATATACATTGTAGTATCTATTCATATACTTTATCAACCTACTGAAAACACAAAGAACCCAGATACCATTAGACCACATAGTCTTGGTACTCAAATATCATTTTAATTTTAGTACAATTTAATTTAACATCTATAATCTATATTGGACCATGATCCACGGTATAAGAACCGATTATTGTTGCTATAAAGTGAGAAGTACGTCCAAACTCCAAATATAGTTAAGTCAGAAATTTTCATTTTTTAATAGAAAAGATTATAATATTGTGATATACGGTTTTATAATTTTATAGAAATTATCTAGACATTTTTTTAATTAGATGTTAACTTATAGTTGTTTGTGTTGACTGTTTTAATTAGTTGATAGTATTAATAATTTATTTTTAGTTTTAGATATAAATTTTAAAATACATTATTATTATTATTATTATTATTATTATTATTATTATTATTATTATTATTATTATTATTATTATTATTATTATTATTATTATAAGCTATGGCAAAATTTTATTTACCAAACATCTTCTTGGTTGAACTTGTCAATATGGTCTTTTAAGTACAGATGTACCGTTTACCTTTCATGTGTAATTTACAAGTTATTATAAAATTTATTATTTTATTTATTAAATTATATTTAATTTATTTTTAGTTTTAGATATAAATTTTAAAATACATTACTACTTTGTTGCTATTTATTATTTTAACAATTGTTTTTGTTGCCTACTACTGTTTTTGTTGTCTACTACTGTTTTTGTTGTTCTTAATAATAATATGATAATACTCCTATAGAATAGATACCACCTTGTAAAGAATATGAGTATTCCAAAAAAATATAATAATACTACTACTAGAACTAATAATAAGAATAATAATAATAAATGTAAACTTGAATAAAAAAAAAAAACATAAACATTACAATAATGAATAATCAACAACTATTAAGAATAAATTAGACTTTTAAGTAAAAAGTGCAATCAATTAATATCAAAAAGTTACTCAAAGTAGCTTTTTCATTTTTACCATATTGATATCAATAAACTAAGACAAAATTTTATTTACCAAACATCCTCTTGGTTGAACTTGTCAATATGGTCTTTTTAGTACAGACGTACGGTTTACCTTTCATGTGTAATTTGCGAGCTATTATATAAGAGTGAGTTTTATCCAATGCACACTTTGGTTGCATACTTTCACTACTTGTCAAGAAAAAATAAAAACTAATTTATCACCAAATGTATATTTTAACTGTTTGACAAAATCAAGCAACTAAAATTAGTTTTTTTTTTTTTTTTTTTTTTGCTTGAAGTGATTATTAATATCAACAACCAAAGTTAATCATCATTTTAAAAGCTCTTTAATAATTTAATTAGCATTACTCAATTAAGCTCTTTAATAATTTAATTAGCATTACTCAAGCCATTTTAATATTTCCTACGTTCTCGGTGGAGATAACATAAATTAGTGCATATCATATGATCTTCCAGAGAAATTCTATTATCTTTAATTAATGTCGTATTACATTGTTTTTTAATCAACAGTCAGGTGTTAAACTAAAGGACGTGCATGGTCGTGTAATCGTGTGTTCCAATTATATAATTTGGGTTAACGTCAAATTTTACTATTATGTATATTTGGATCAAATGTTTCATGTCATGTAAATCATGTTAATGAATATTTTGATTTAGAGTAAACTCGCCCTATCTATTTGAATGTGTCTTTTTGGTGAAGTTTACCTGTTAATCATAATTGTTAAAGAACCACAATGAGATAAATGAGTGTAAATTGTCAATAGTTGGTCATCATTAAAATGAGAATGCCGGATGTTCACAATACACAATTTTTACATACCTGATGTTCACAATTTAGGTACTCAATGTTCACAAATTAAATTGTAAACATTTAGTATGAAAATTCTATACGTAAATTGTGAACATACATTTAGTAGGTAAAATTGTGACATTTAATAGGTAAATTGTGTATTTTTAAAATCGGAATGCAAGGTCCACATAATAATTTGCATATTATAGGCAGCTCAAACGGAGTGGGATCTGGCCTATCTGTACTTGAAGATTTGTCATTAATTTATAGTGAAAACACAAGTGGGTATAATTATTTATTCAATTTTCCGTTCCATCCCCAATGGGAGATTACCAGGTAAGTCCTTTATTTAAACACTACACCGAAGTACCCAAAGACTAAATTCTGGGGAATCAAGTTTGATAAATTTAAGTTGCATCAATGGAGGGTTCATCAATAAGTTGGTTTACAGAACTGGTAAGCCCAGACTTTTATTTATATATATATAATTTTAATTTTGGGAAAATTAATTAAATTAATTTAGAGTTGGATTAATGCAGGGAGAAGTTGATGATTATTACGATTTTGTTGATGGCTTCATTGCTCAAAATTCAGTCACAACACAAGAAGAGGTTCAGAAACGATCGTCGCAGTCGTCTCCAGAAAGCTATACTTCTGATTACTCCATTTTCGCCCCAAAAGATAATGGAAATAATGTCTCCGGCACCACCATTTGTTTCGGCGGCGGCGGCGGCGGCAGTGCATTGCCGGAAAGTTTGGATTTTCAGGCTGACGGCGGCTTTGAACGACAACCTGTGAAACGGCTCAAGGTTGATGACAATAAGAAAAGTTGCAGTTTTCATGTCCTTTCGGGGAGTACTAAGGGCGGCGATGATGTCAGACGTTGTTCGGTTGCTCGTGAGCACGTTCTTGCAGAGAGAAAGCGCCGGGAAAATCTCACCCAGAAGTTCATTGCTCTTTCCGCCATTCTTCCCGGACTTAAAAAGGTAATTAATTAAACTCCGATCCCATTCTTTATTGTTGAGATAAAAAAGACAATATTTATTAATTGTTGAAGAATTTTTTAATTTGTAGGTGGATAAGGCGTCGGTTCTTGAAGAAGCGATAAAGCACCTGAAGGAGCTTAAAGAAAGGGTGAAACAGCTGGAGGAACAAGGGAATAAGACAAGGTCCGAGGAACCTGCGGTGGTCGGTCGTAGCTCCGACGAGGCATCGCCGGAAATTGAAGTTCGATTCTCCGGCGACAATGTTCTGATCAGACTGCACTGCAGCAAGAATAAGCGCGGGAAATCATCCTTGTCTTTCTTCCTGAGAGAAGTAGAGATGCTTCATCTCAGTGTTGTGAACAGTTTCATGACGCCTTTCGGAAAACACGCCATGGATTTTACCTTGGTTGCCCAGGTAATTAATCTATGCATATATGCATGTAAAATTAACAATTATTAATCCAAGGATTATATATAAATTTCTAATAAGCTCTAATGATAATCTGAGATGATTATTATAATTATAATTTTAAATTGTTGCAGATGGATGAGAATTTCTGCATGAAACCGAAGGATGTGGTGAAGCATCTGCAGTGCATTACTCGTAGCTAGCTTAGGTTTATGAATTCATAACATATGTAAAAGTTTTGAGTGAAAACTACGGTTTAATCTACGGTTACAGGACCTAATTGCTTCATTAATGTATGACAGTATGAACTATTATAATTAAAGTTTTAAAGTTGAGAATTTAATATTAAAATTTGATTTATTCAAAAAAAAAAAAAAGGTTAATTTTACCCTATAATTATTGATGTCAAGTGGGCTGACATTAATGTGACCCGATGACTCATCACTCATGTTTATTGCGCAACGTGATCCAAGCTATATACATTCACTTATAATTTATTATAATAAAAATAAATACATAAATTGACAAATATAATATTCTAAATTTAAAAAATTGAAGATTTACCAAATGGCTTGTGGTCCACTGGTATTGGATTGCTTCCTTATGTAGGAGGTTTAGGTTTTGAGCCTCTGTGTAGGCATGACATAGATTGTATGAGTATCCCCTTCCTTTGTAATAAAAAAAAAAAATTGAAGATTTTTTTTAATGGCTGTGGGCTGAGCCAGGCTAAGATGTTTAGGTTCCGTTTATTTTAGAAAATTATTATCTGTTTTTTATTAAGAAAATTTGTTTACTAACACTAAGTTTTTCATTTTTATTTTTCATATCAACGTTATAAAATTAACATAAGTTTAATTGCGAGTCATTTTTAGATTATATATTTAAAATATTTTTGGATATATTTGGCTTAAATGGAATAAATATAATTTTTACTTTTAAATCTAATATATGTAATATTTTTACATTTGATATCCAAACCAAATTTATATTCGTATATAACATATCTACAAATATATCCAATCAATAACCTATTAAGTTCACTTAAAATTTAGTTTAGATAATATTAATATTTGTGAGATAATATTGAAAATATTTTTAGATATATTCATTTGAACGGCATGTATATATAAAAGTCTTACTTTGATGTCTAATGTATGTGAAATTTCAATATTCGATATTCGGATCAAACTTGCAGTTTTGTACTAGGATATAACATAACTAAATTATCCGAACCAATAATCTATTTAGTTCAATCAAAATCAAAAACTTGGTGTATGTAGAGTTCAAGTTTTAATTTTGATAATGTAAACACTATCTAACGTTAAGCTTAAGCAAATGAATTATGTTTATATAAGTAAATGCGAGCATAAAATATAGAAAATAGTGATAAATAAAAGAAGATGATAATGAATGTAATCATAGTAATGATTAAATAATTTTTTTCTTTAAAATAGTAATGAATAATGTAAGTAGATAATGATGAGAACGTGATTATAGTGATATATAGTCTAATAGATGATAGATGATTATATTTTCCATTTAGAAATTAATTTTTAAAAGTTCTCCAAATTTCTAAAAAATTGGAAAATATTTTCCGTTGGAAAAGTGTGCTAGTGAACATATTTTCTATTTTCTATTCTTCAATTCTCATAATTGAATTTTGACAAAACATATACTTTGTCAAATTTCACAAACATATCCATTTATCATTTGTGCAACACAACATTTATATATTATCCTCGTTTAGAACATCGGGGGTGATTCATTACATAACCAGGCCAGTTTTAGACTTGACATGCATCATGGGGATCAAATAAAATATCTAGTACCCAAGTAGCCCATCAAAAATCATATATTGGTTTCTCACATTATTAATGTCAAAATCTTTGTATCTCGAAGATATCGAAGGTTATGTTAAGCACTATTCCTATATATCATTGTAGAAGTAACACTAAATGTTGTTAGCAATTTCATCGTAAATATCAGGCATGTTGCGATTATAGAACTTATGGTTCTAAAGTGATGCTCCAACGACAATGAAGTAATGACAATTTGGTCAAATGGTATCCTTATTATCCTCTTCGAGTCTAAACAGTTTATTATCTGCTCTAAGAGATTGAATAACCGTTAGTGTGATAAGTTAAATGATACCTATCAATATAGAACATTTTCAAGAGATTTTTCAACGTAGACTAACTGGTGCATAAAATTTCTTAAAGGAAATACTCGATCTGCTTGGTGAGACAATATTTGGTTTCCCAAGTCTTTCATTTCAAAATTCCGTCTTTAGGCATGGGCTAATATCATCAATCTCTTTATGTGTTTCAATGATGATTATACCATCAACACCAACCGATATAATAAATAAACAAACAAATATCTCTATTAGCAATTTTTAAAGAACACATAATGACACATATTATATGCATATTCCTTCTTCAAGAGAAAAAACAATCACTCATCTACTGACTATTTCAAGACACATAAAAACCTTCATAATTTAACATTTTACATGCTATACGATTTTTATTTTCATTATTTTGAGAGCTTTAAATCCTTTAGGGACTTTCGAAATAAATATTAGCGTGGGACCGTATTCATTAGAGCAGAGAATTATGCATGCATTACAGGCTGGGCCGGTGCAATTAGTAATAAATTAAATAATCCAATTCCAAGATTTTAGTTGTGAGCAGATCCATGGTGTTAATTAAGTGTCGTCGGTTGCCGGGGCACCCAAATCCTGGTATAGATCTGGAATCCCGGATCATGATTTTCAATACTTTGTCAGGCGTGTGAATTGCTAGGTTTAAAGTCTATTTGCATCTCTGAGCTCCGGCAACAACAGAAATATGAACCATCTATCACAAATTATCATTGTATTGAAGAAGAGGTTATAGGAATATTAAACTTGATCAACTTAATTGGTCTCGAATGGGGTTAACAAGCACGATTAATCATGCCTACATATCAATATAGCTATTCAACAAATACTTGCACACTATCATATTCGAGATGCACGCACACGTACACAAACATACAAACATAGCATCTTTAATAGTGGTTTTTTTTTTTTTTTTTGAGAGTGATTAAGAAAGAGAATATAATAAGTGAAGAGAAAAAAGGAAAAAATAAAAATAAAACAAAGCTGATTTAAAAATAAAAATAAAAAAATCTAAATAACGCCATTTACGCGCCCAGTGGGAGCGTGCACGCTGGGCGCATTTTGTGACTTTCACGCGTGGACGGCGAGATGTGCTTGTTTTGTAGTGGGTCTCACATTTCTGCAAAAAATCTTGGGTCTTTGCAGGAGGAGCTCAAACCCTCTCTCTTCTAAGGTGACAAAAAACTCCTCAAAAAATTGGGATAAAGTAACTAATGGAGATGCCCTAATTAGATTATCACACATGTATTGAGAGTTGTGACTTTTCCTCTTGAGTTCGAACTTCGACCATCATTTTGATAGCAGGTAATATTGGTGTAGCTTGACCATGCTTTATTTAAATTTTAGTTGATATATAGTTATTCTACTCGATAGAATATATATATATATATATATATACACTTTTAAATATATGTGCCTTGTAGAGAACATTGTGGACGGAGAACGTATTAACTTAAATGTTTAGTCACCGTTACCGCTATATGCAATTTAAATTATAGTATAGATGCAATGAAGCATGGGTAATATATCCACTGTCCACTCATTTCGGAGAAAACCAAGGTTGCTACGGACTTGTTTGTCTTATTTTCAAATATATAAAGACCCTGTGTTATTCAACTCTCAGCTGGCCTCGCTACTTTATATTTATTTGTATTCTTTTACTAATATATTTCACATAATTCATTGACTATTATACTAGAATACATTTGATCTTTTACTATTAAAATTTATTAATTAAGTGTGTGACTATATAATTTGTATCACATTTAGTTATGTTGTTTATTTTTTCTGGTCAGCTATTGTTAGACGTGCTTCTTCCGGAAGAAATAAATGTAGTGCTCCTTTCAAAAGGAGTACTTTCGACATATAATTGACCGAAAAATTGAAAAGTATGATCAAATGTGATACAAATTACATAGTCATGCACTTAATTAATTAGAAAAGTTTAATAATCAAAGATGAATATAATTCATATATAATAGTCTGAAAATCAAAAATAAAATTTTCTCTTTCACAATTAAAAAATTAATGAGAAGCTCACCAGTATATGCATATTAAAATTTATTGACAAAACCTTATAAGTGAGGTTTACGGAATCCACTAGTAGCTTTTAAGAGCGTCTTCTTGTAATTATTGTAATTAAATATCGAGTTCAAAATAAATTTTGGTTGACCTAAAATTTAAAATGAAAACAAAAATCAGTAGCAAATTACTAAGGGTTCGAGAAGGAACATGTTTCATGTGTAGACAGACAAGAAAAAACATTTACGTACGGTGTTGAATATAGCATACACCCCCCCCCCCCCCCCAAATTATTACAATAAAATAAATTATCCCTCATTGATTCAATAAACTATCGCTTTCAATTCTCTCAAATTTTAGAATGCGAGTTTTCGGCTTCCACGAAGTCAGAGATGACCAGGTTTTGTGATAGTGAAGAAAAGGAAAAAAAAAAAAAAAAAGGTTTATGGTTCATTTTTCGAACTAGAAAATCAAAATATCATATCTTTTTAAAGACAAATATCATATTTAAAACAAAACAGAGATATTTAAATGGAAAAATTGTATCTTTGATCCTTGAGTTATACTAAAGTTTTGATTCAGTCCTTGAGTTATGATCGTATTCATTAACGAAGTGCACATTTGGTCCCTGACCGTTAAAACTAAAAGAAATTAAAAAATATTTAAAATTTGAGAGGTAAAGTAGGAAATTCACATTGTATTCTCCTTCTTATATTAAAACCACTTTCACAACATTATTTTTCACTTCTTGAGTGACATTTAGTGACAAATCTTTTGTGAAACAACCCTAAATGGTTCAATTGTTCAATTCTAAAATCATACATATTAGCCTATGATCTTATTTCCAAATTGTTCAATTTTAAGAGCATTTCAATAACTTTAGTATAACTTGTTAGGAACCTGACTCTCGTATAACAAACTTAAGACTTAGCACAAACAAAGAAACACTTTATCATTGTCTTCAGACGTGTGAAACACACTATCCTATCAATTTTCAATTTTTCTTTACTAAGCAACAAAGGTAATCAAACCAGAACTTTTGAGATACAAAATGATGTCAAATTTCTCAGGTTGCTTTTATGAGAAATTCACCAACAGAATAACTTGAGATTTTTAGTATGTACAATTTTTTCATATGCAACCGTCAATAATGGTTTTAGAAGTTACAAAATTTTTTAGAATTTTCATAATTGAGTCTTAGGTTCCTTATTCATTACTCTGATTTTTAAGAACAGAGGAGGTGATGGGTATATATATAATATAATTTTCATATATTGTCAGGATATACGATTCTTGATTAAGTTATTGCAGAGCTTATGAAAGAATTTTACATACTAAAAATCTCAAGTTACTCACTTGGTGAATTTGTCATAAAAATAACTGAGAAATTTGATATCTTCTTGTATTTCAAAAGTTATGGTTTGATTACCATTATGTTTAGTAAGGGAAATCAGAAACTTTTAGGATGATGTGTTTTACATGATTGAAGACAATGATCAAGTATTCTCTTGTTTGTACTGAGTCACATGTTCCTTATACGAGACTCAGGTTATTAACAAGTCATACGAAGATTATTATTGAATTGCTGTTGAAAATGAAGAACCTTGAAATAGAATGCTAGGAAGTTGAAAATAATGATGCAAAAGTGGTTTCAATATAAGAAAGTGAATAAAATGTTAAATTCTTTCTTTATCCCTAAAATTTTAATTTTGTTTTCGTCAGTTTTAACGGTCAGGAACCAAATGCGTCACTTCGTTCATAACTCATGGACTAAAAATGGATACGGTCATAACTCAGAGATTGAGTCCTCACTCTCATTATAACTCAGAGACCAAACACGCTATTTTCAGTATTTAAAATGTAAAATTATACACCACTATTTCTTGTAAATTTGATGTGACATTATTGTATTAATTTGTTTAATATTTAATTACTGCATCTATTTTTTTTAATGATATTGTTGTATTTGATTAACGAATAATTATAAAAAGATAACGAATAAGTATACAAAGGTCTTTTCATTGCATCAAAAGATGAACATGAGAGAATATGAGAACGACCGTAACCATTTTCTATCACTGTGTAATATATTCTAGGTGTATACTTCAGGAATTCAAACTCACCGTCCAAGATAATAAGTAATGGGTACCATACTGAGTATCCACCGTAAGATTTTCTCTAATAATATATATTATATATTAAGGCCTTAATTAAGTGGTTTGATTGGACTGAATAATTAGAAGTTATTAGTCCACCAAACTCTGTACTTAATATAATCCTAGATTTTTTCCTAATAATATATATTATATATTATATATTATATATTAGGGCGTTAATTAAGTGGTTTGGTTGGACTGAATAACTAGAAGTTGTTAGTCCATCAAACTCTGTGCCTAATATAATTCTAGATTGATGAAATATACTGCTCAGTAGATATCAATACACCATCTATACAACAGGAATATTAACTATGGTTGGAGATCAATACTGCTACACTTCCGTCTCACACGAGATCAGATTTCTCGTATACTATGGTTCATTATGAGGTGGCGTTGATTTTGAAAAGTCCACCCTCTAGAAACTAAGTTGGAGGTTAGAATGTAATGAGTGCGTCGGATAGTTACTATAATTATTCCGGATCAATTGTCATCCCTAATAATAATATGAAAGGATGAAAAGTAAAAGCTAAGCAAGAAGTTACGATGGGAAAATGGGGATGCATTGAAGGGTGAGCCATTGTTGACCAAAAGAAGCCATCTAGTCTGTATAAACCCTGGAAATGAAAAAGAATGAATGACATCGGGATATATGTAAGAATATTACAGAAGGTCAAAATGTTTGATAACGACTCGTTTCGTACACGCAGAAAAACACCAACCCCCACATCCATTGCTAAACATCGGACATTCCGGGTGTTTCGGAGGAAGAAAAGTCAATTCTCTCCCCATATTTCTTCTTCCGAGTGTCATTATTTCAAATCTGAAGAAATTAAGTCTCCTTAAACAAGCCATCTAATTATGACATTTTACACGTGTCCTATTCTTTCTCAATTTATAATCCTGGCTTTCTTAATAATGGAGGATGACAGTACAATATAATATTGTTGTTTGTACATCTCAAAACGTGTTCCTACTCGCCCCGCTGACCGGACTCGCTGCTTCGGGGTTTTCCATGTAAGCTTCCGACCATATCGCCTTTGTGTCGTTATCTCCCATTTTCTGGGTTGTCTGAACAATACAGTGGAACTATATATATTTCTGCGTTTATATAAACATCGAGTCTTACTGTATAGTCCAATATAATTGCCTTTCACGTAGAATATTATCACAGCTTTAGAAACAATAATTCTATGGATAATCTTTCATCTGCAGAATGGTTCAGTCAGGAGATGGATGAGTGGCAGATGATGAACACATTTGACGATTTCGCCGTCTTCTCTCCTGAAATGATGCCGTTCCCATCCTCCGCCGGCTACTGTTCGTCGCCTTTTCCGCCGTTCTCGTCAAGTAACGGATTTCAGACGGTGGCCGGAGCTCATGTCGTTGAGAATCCGGCGGCTGCTGTGAACCGGGTTCAGGAGAATCCCTCTTTGTCTTCTTCGTCCTCAAGCATTATATCTTTCGCCAACTCTGACTTGCCATGGGCTACCCAGCATTTGCCTAATAATTCTAATAATCCCAAAGCGTTGGTGAAGACGGAGATGGTTTTCACGTCTCGGAGTTGTGTCGTCGCAGATGGTCGGAAGGACATGATTGGGTTCAGCGGCGCCGCCGATGTCAAGAAGGGTGCCGCTAGAAACGCTGTACAAGCTCAAGATCATGTCATGGCTGAGAGAAGAAGACGAGAAAAGCTCACACAATGCTTCGTTGCTTTATCTTCCCTCGTTCCTGGCCTAAAGAAGGTAAATTCTTGGTGTCAATACTTTTATAGAGACTCACATGATGAAAATAGTCTATATATCAGTATTTGTATCACAGAGTAAAAAATTGGAAGTGAAATTTAGAAGTATACATAATAGAACTCCCCAGCAAGGGATTTTAAACTAACAAGCATTATAAGAGTTTCACCCTCTCACCCTCTTGCGGGTGACTCCTTGTTGGCACCAGCATGGTCCTTCCATCTAATTGCTCGCTGAATCATCATGTTTTACTCTTCTAAAATTATATTTCTGGTAGACTAAGTTTTTGGACCCTCGTGCTGGAGATTTCACATTTTGTGAGCAAGATAAATTAACTTAAGTGGTTTATAGTTGTGCGGTTCAAATCTTCAATAGGTAGAGGAGTTAAACTTAAAAACAGTCGAACTTATAAACTTATCAATAGAAACAACTTGACTATGTTGCTCAATTAAATTCATTCTTACATCTTCAAAAAGATTTATGATCTGCAATTTCTTTTTATATATTAACATGTTTCTTGTTTTTTGTGGGGATTAAATGATTGATTTGACAGTTAGACAAGGCATCAGTGCTTGGAGCGGCCATCAAACACATAAAGGATCTCAAAGAACGTGTGGAAACGCTGGAGGAAAACGCCAAGAGACACGCCGAAGAACCACCTGCGGCGGCGGCGGCCGTGAAGAGAGTGCGGCTGTCTGGCAGCGACGATGACAGCTATTCATCGGACGAAAACTCGGATGCCAGCACGGAGATGTCGTTGCCGGAGATCGAAGTGCGATCCTCGGACCAGAATATGCTAATTAGGGTTCACTGCAAGAAGCACAATAGGGTGATTAAGGAAATCTTTAGCGAAATAGAGAAGATGCAACTAAGCATCCTTAGTAGCAGTGTAATGCCTTTCGGCAAAACCACAACACATATCACCATTATTGCTCAGGTAATTAATCTCTACTCCCATGCATCATCACTTAATTAAAAACAAATAATGCCCTCACACACAACTTAATTAGTTTGTTCTTTCTTGGTTAATAAATTGTGGGCAATGACACAAGACTGAACCCGGACAATCTCACTATGATCAGATATGACAGACTTCTTGTAGGCACCCAACACTAGACCTCCCATCTAATAGGGCATAGACGAAGCCAAAGGGGGGCAGGGGGTCAGCTGCCCCCCCTCACCCCACCCCACCCCTACCCCTATCCCATATATAATTTTTGTATGTGTATATAGTATATTTTTGAGTATTAGTATATAAAAATTGTTAATTGTTCATAAGAAATGAGTTAAATTAGTTGGTAGAGCATGCATTTGGTTATAATAAAGGTTAGGCGTTTGAATCATATAGTTTTTTGGCTCCTTCCCTATGACTCTAACACAATCACGTTTTAATAGTTTTTTTAATATTTGATACACACATACATATATATATATATATTCAAATTATTTTATCAAATTAATTATGTTTCATATTTTGTTATGAATATTTTTATAAAGTTTCGATTTGTTTTATTTTTCGCCCATATCCAATAATATTTACACCTATATTTCTTAGGTAATTTATTTATTTATTTTTAAATATCTCTTTTATTTTAATGTTTCGCCTTTACTGAAAAAAATTTGTGAATCCGTCCCTATTTCGCCCCCCTCAACAAAATTCCTGGCTCCGTCCATGTAATAGGGTGGAGTTCACTCATCATAATTTAACCATCCACTATATTGTTGGGCCAGGGTTTGAAACCCTGGGGTGAGGGAATTTTGCCTTTAATTTGTGGGCAAGTAAAAATGAATAATTTGATCTTTCTTCCAACGTTTGTATTCATTCGATTGTATATAATTGTCACAGATGGATCATAAATTTTGCATGGCAGCTAAGGATGTTGCAAGCACCATTCGGATGACCATATTGAAGCTCTTAGGCTAGCTGTGAGGAATCGAGTTCCCCCTTTTAATTTAAAGAATTGCATTTCAATATCAAGAAACTAGGTTGTAGTTGAAATATATATATAGTGAGTTATATATGTTTGAATTGGTGTGTATGTAAGCTGATCTCATGCTGAGGATTGAGACCACCGTACCGACCAGCCATGAAAGATTAAGGTTGGGAATTGAAGCTGCGGCGATGTGTCGCAAAGGGTGTTTTTTGCGAGGTCGATAAGTTAGCTTAGCCCTCGTTTTATTACCCACGTGTTTCACATGGAACAAAGCTTCAGTTTGAAGAATCAAAGACGATGGACTGAGGTCGTCGGAGGTTTTTTTTTTTCCTCCTCTTTTGAGAGGTTGTGCACATTGTCACATGTATTTTTGGCTTATCAGTAATTATTTTTTGGCCTTACCTAAGCTTGTTAACCTTGTTATTACTTATTATTATGCATAATTATCATTTGTGTCATAAGGTTTTATTGGGTTCGTTTCAATTCATAAACTTAAAATTATGTGTGTGTAATCTATCTCTCGAGTAGACAATGATAAAAGAAAAGAATGCTTGTGAGACTTAATTAGTTAGACTAAAAATTTCTATATATATATTTCAAGATATATAGTAGCATGTATTCCTACTTTCCTTGCTCGAGTTTTTATAAATTTCAAGTAATAAATGCAAATTGTTGTTGTTCATTACTCCTTATTAATAGTTAAATAATGATTTTGAAAGCAATTACAATGATTTTTATTTAATGCACACAAGAGATGTTTGAAGTGGCACAACAAGTCAAGAATGCCTTTTGCGTGGATGCTTGTTGTGGTTATCTTCCTACACACTCACAGATCCAACTCGTCTTGACCACTTAAAATATGCTGACAAGCTAGCCGACAAGGAGATGAAGATCCTTAGTAGGTTGAGGATAAGGTTGAGAACCTCTAGGTAGGCAAAAATGAAATTAGAACCTAAATTGTTAAGGGCATATACCCTCCTTGGTCGACGTTGTGAGCAAGGGAGTCAACCACCACTGGTAAAGGACGTCTCTAGTCCTCCTTGTCCTTAGCTAGACTAATTTTTTATTTTATTTTATATAAAATACAGAGAAAAATTTTATTTGGTAAAAAATTTAAGCTGAACACTTTAACATGATGCACATAGAAGTCAAATCATCAAATCTCCAATCATACAATTGCATTTACAACTTATTCACTATTGCCCCAAATTACTGCCCTAGGTTATAATGAAATAAGTATTCAAGTCATTTTTTTAAAAATGAACATTAAACTCCCAAAAAAAAAAAAAAAAAAGACTGTTGGATGCATTTATATTGGGCCGGACAGTGAGTTGTTAACTCGTTATGGGCATGCATTGAGTTAATCAATTACTGTCCAAATAAAATTTCCAAGTTGTAGATTCATATGGACCCAATCCAATCGTATATTTATCGTCACCTTATAATAGATATATAGTTAGTTTTATGGTTAAAAAAGGATCGAGTAAGTCGGCGAGACAACACAATCGTACATGAAAAATATGAGTATTTTATTGTCAGAAATTAATAGTCAAACCCCGTACAATATACCTGCAGATGGTATTTATACATAGGCGTTGGTCTTAAGAAAGGAAACCCAGTCATTTACAAACGCTTGATAGTACCTCGGCCCGCATTTGGGCAAGCTGGCCGACTCCCCTATCCGACTGTTTGCCTGATCACCCACGCGGCTGACTAGGTATGCCTATTACCGGTCCATCAAATATATGTCTATATATAAATCTTCAAAAATATTAAATATCCGCCGAATGACAAACTATAAGCTAGGTACATACTAAGCCAACGTGAATAAAAAGGGGACCCAGATCGTAGGACATGACGAGGATGGAAAAGGACTAAATTAAAACGGAGCAGAAAAAACATAAATCTATATATACTACTAGTGGGAAGGCTGTCTGGTTTGTTTAACCTTATACTCTTAATTAAAGGCATGAGTAGTGTTGATTAATAAATCCAATAGAAATCGGACCCTCTCAAGTCTCATCTTGAATGGTATATTGGTATGGGAGGACGAGGACAAAGTAGTCGAGGTTGAAGGGACGGCCTAAAATGGGTAAGTGTAATGTGAGATAAGGGTCCCCTCTCACCAAACCCAAACCTACCAGACGCCGCATGTGCTATAAGGACCACTACCGTTAAGTTTTATTTATACGGCTTGCTGGAATGACCTCGTACCTAGTTAGCTTGTCCGGTTCGGATTGATTTAGCCAGCCCAATTAAAGAGTAAAGTATTAATCAGATTGGTTTTTTGTATTAGAGTAGGGTTAAACTTTCGACCTCTCTTAAAAAGATGAGAGAGCATGACCACTCACAACAATTAAACTTTATTTTTTATTTTTTGAGATTAATTAGGTAATGATTCAATTTTTTTTTATTTTTTTTTTATAATTTGTGATAAATTAGAAAGTGATGTGGAAACATTTCCAAACGAGGTAGCCCCATCATTACAATGGGACTTTGGCAACAAAACTGCCAAGCCCGTCAACGGTTTGGAGCAATGGCATTATGGTAAATTCATGTGTATTTATTAGTATTTAAAAATATGAATTTTTCACAAAAGGAAGTGGTTTTACCCAATACTAATGTGTTATTTTAAAGTTTTATTTAAACAAGTGTGAAGTTATACAGAAATCATGTAGTTTTTTTTTTTACTCAAAGTAGTGCATGTTTACCCAAAATAATGTTGTTTTATCTCAAAATGATGTTAGCTTTACTACAAGATGATGTGCATAACTTCTACATATATATATATATATATATATATATATATATATATATATATATATATATATATATATATAAAATCATTACGCTTTCTTTTTAAGTATAGGTGTAGTCTGCTCTCTTTTTTTTTTTTCTTTTTTTTTTTTTTGCAATTTATTGAATGAGATTTATTTACATTTTCAATGAATCTTTTCTTGTGAACTTGACACGTGCACACGCACACGCACATATACACACACATATAATAGCATGATGTAAGTTACTAGACTACATAATGAGTCTCCCAAAAAAAAAAAAAAAAGACTACATAATGAGTCTCTCCAAACCAAGTATGAAGTTAAAGAGGGCCTTAAACAAGTATGAAGTTAGATAGAAATCATGTAGTTTTTACTCAAAGTTGTGCGTGCATGTTTTATCTCAAATTGATGTTAGTTTTACTACAAGATGATGTGCATATATAAATTCTACATAATTACAAAAGGTCTTTGCCACAAACAAAGCTATTGTTGTTAACACCTTGATTACTGTGAATAACATCTGAGTTGGGAGCATGATTACTATGGATACCATCCAAGTTATTATGGTTTACCACTTGAGGCGAACCACTATGGATGTTCACTAAAGATGGCAAATGCCTCTTGCATTTTCTGATCCTCTAACTACTTAATTTGGACTTCAGGTGCAAGTGAAGTTGATGGCCCAGTCTTTGATCTCTGGTGTATCATAGCCTTGGAAAAGTAGTGTTTGGTATTCGACTTAAATAATTTTGAAACGTACTCACTTTCCTTACGCCACCAACAACCTCCAACTACACTACAGTTTCTACCACTTCAGGTTGTGTTTGCTTCAATTTAGTCATAATTTTCTAAGGAAAAAGTTGAGTTTATAATAATTTTAGTTGAGTCACAACCAATATTATAATGACCTTCAAACATATGTAATATGTTATGATTGTTTAATACAAAGCGAAAAATAAACTATAACTTGTAAGATTTTACATATGAGGATGCAACTTATATTCAATTCTCTTATCACTCTGATTTATAAGAAAGTTAACCATCACTTTTAGTCATAATAATTATATACAATGTGTGAACATCTCAAATTAGCACATGAATCATGGTGCATCCCCAAAAAATCAATGATCTTCAACATCACATGTGGACAACATTTGCCTGCGTCATGACACGATATCACTCTATATCTTTTTTTTTTTTTTTAATTTTATTTTGGAAGATGTATATCATCACTCAATCTAAACACTATAAAAAGGCGTCTGCACAATATGAGAGCCTTCAATAATTCACTGCCGAAAGAAGCAGACTTTCTGCAAATATAGATAGTGTTTTAATTTATTGCCTGTTGGGTTCGATGCTAACCAGTCTCGTGATTAATTCACAGTTTCACACTTTTTCTTCTTCTCCTCCAATAATAGATCTCTGCAGATTTTGATAACTTCATCAAGAACTAACACTGACAAGATGATGAATCTTTCCCAGGCTTGTTTTTCTGGAATGGTATGACGGTGTACATTGTGATCTATGCATTCAAATCTCTGCAGATTTTTACATTGTTATTATATATGTTTCTTTTACAGGGAATGGACGATCTGTCATTCCTGGATCAGTTTCAAATCTTGCAGTCGATTGAGCAAGAACTTGCGGCTGTACTTGGAGAAGATGTCCTTTGTTCTTCTTCGCCGGAAGAGGGGTCGCCGCCGCCGCCGCCGCCTCCGGCGGCGACGACTAGCCATCTCGGCGAAGATGACAGACCGTCAAAACAACTAAAGAACCACCACCATCCTAACCTTGACGTTAACCCGACGGAGCAGCGTCAAGAACTGGTCACCAGTAACGCGAGCGCCGAGCAGGAAACGGTGCCGCCGGCGGAGACAACGACGAAAAAGGGGGGGAAATCCGGGAGACGCGGCCGGCCACCTACCAATACGTATGATCATATAATGGCGGAAAGGAAACGGCGGGAGCTTCTTAGCCGTCAATTTCTAGCGCTGTCTACCATAGTCCCCGGCCTCAGAAAGGTCTCTGAAAACTTCTTTTTTTTTTTTTTTTTTTTTGCACGGTAATCCCACATTGACATCTTAGCCAACAAAACTAATACTTTTTTTTTTTTAGTACACTAATAAATTGTTTTAGTTAAAAGTGAAATTTATAATAATCTTATAATTACTAAATCATCTGCCACGCTTGACCAATTTAGTTGAAATTGCTAACATATTCTAAACAACGTTTAATCAAATGTCATTTTGTCACACGTGTATACATATTATAATATTTTTTTATTTATTCTGTCAAAAAATTATTTAAACAATGTTTCTTGAATAAAATATACATAGATGGACAAAACATCGGTTCTTGGAGATACGATCAAGTATTTGAAACAAATACAAGAACGTGTGAGGTTATTGGAGGAAGAATCGAGCAAGCGAAGCATGGAGTCGATCATGTTCGTAAATAAATACCAGGAATCATTCGACGACAATGATGATATGTCATCCGGCAAAAATGAAAAGTCCGAGGAACAGCCACGGCTAGAGATTGAGACAAGGTTGTGTGACAATCACATTCTACTAAGAATACACTGTGAACGGCATAAAGGGGTGATCGGACAAATATTTTCCGAGGTGGAGAAGCTTAACCTAGCCGTGGTCAACTCGAGCGTGGCACGTTTTGGGAGCTTGACTTATGATATCACCATTATCGTTGAGGTAATTACGGTTATTTTAATTTTTAATTAGATTAAATTAATACTCCGTATTTAGTACCACATTCGGGTGTTAATAATAATAATAATAATAATAATAATAATAATAATAATAATAATAACAACAACAACAATAGTAGTAGTTAAGAGTAAGACAAACTTAATGGGGTAACCCTAACTACTGTTGTAACACCACCACCCACATCATCAATAAATTGAATGGGGTAACCCTAACTAAATTGGTTAGGAGAATTGGTCTGATCTATTAGTGTTTTTTATTTACATCCGTCAGCTATGAAGGGATGATTTAATCAGTACACATTCATGGATTAGGATAATTTGTAAAATAAAATTATTTTAAAATTTATATTTAAAACTAAAATTAATTTAAAGATAATTCAATAAATAAAATAAAAAAAGTTAATGCATTATGTCCCTATAAATCAATGCTACTAATTGCTAATTACCCAACATCCCCTTAAGATCTTTTAATTATTATTAGTTATTCAACTTCTAAATTATTTTTAATTTTTTTTCTATTTTTGTTATTTTCAGATGTTGAAAGAGTTTGACTTGCCGGTGAAACACATTGCAAAGAACCTTCGTTATGCAATCCAAAATGCTAGCAAACATCATGAACTAAAATAAGATAATCCAACATGCTATGCTAGCAAACATCATGAACTAAAATAAGTTAAAGTCTTATGTAAGACCATTTCATTTGAGATGTGTAATATTTTTAATTAAAATATAATAATTTTTTAAAGATTCATCAAAAGTATTACATTTTAGTTAAAAAAATATTGCATGTCTCATTAAAATAATCTCGTACAAAACCTAATCTTTAAACTATGCCTCCAGCAATTTTCACAATTCAAGAGGATTTTTATTTTTATTTTTTCTGATTTTTTTAATAGATCACCTCTAAGTCTAACCACTAATCTCTTCTTATCTAATAAATCTTCATGGTCTTTTAAAGTTAAATCTTATGAATTGATATAGTATTAATTGTTTAACGACATAAGATTTTTGCATTTTAAATTTATGGGGTTTGTGTTACATAGTGCTATACAAAGAATAATTGGAATATACTATATTTGTTTACTTAGTATAATTGATACTAATTGGAATATTGATGCGTAGTATATTTGCAAACAAATAATTCTCGGAGTACGAGTTATCGATCCACAGGGAAGTGGTTGTATCAAGCACTAGTTACTAACTTATTCATTAGAGCTAATCCTAACAATTACTTAGATGATTGATTGGCATAAAATAAATAAAATAAAACAGAGGTTCAGGATTTTGAAAACAATTAGAGAGAAGTTGAGATTCATGGGATTCAAGTGTTTAATCACCTAGTGCCAATTATCGTTTGCAATATTTAGTTTGGAATTAAGATTTGTGTGGGAATGCAAAGTGGAATCGAATTACTCCCGTAATCTCTATTCCTAGTGAATTTCCACTCCCATGGCTTAAACACCCAATAAGATCAAAGATCAGCATTCAATTATTCCTAGTTACTACCATCTCCCGATGAGCAATAATCTAGAATAAACTTCCCCTAATAAGTTCCCCTTTCCCAAGGACCAACCATTAGGTGCAATCGTGTGTGCCCTAATTTATGCCCCAACTCCCATTGGTGACACAAACATGGCTATGAGGCTAGTAACTATGGCCATTAATTACAAGCATCAAACAATATTATCACGATTGCAACACACTAGTACAGATTTGCACATCCGCTACCCTTGTAAAAGGCTATCCGCTACCCTTGTACAAGGGTAGCGGATATTAGGGTCTCTGAAAACCCTGAGCTTTCCGCTACCCTTGAATAAGGGTAGCGGAAAGTTAAGAATCCGCTACCCTTCTTTACACAGAAGGATAGCGAATACCATTAATTTATTAAAACAATCCGCTACCCTTCTTTTTAAGAAGGGTAGCGGATTGTTTTTATGAATTAAAAAAAAATCATTATTATATTTAAATTTCCCAATTCTTTTAAAATCCTATACGAATTCATACAAAACATATCAACATAATATTAACCATCAACAAACTATCAAAACACAATATTATCAACATACTTTAAATATACATAGTTCTATTTAAATTTTCTATATCATAAAAAAGTTCTGTCCAGACGAAAATGCACAAAGCCAAAAACAGTTACTGCTTCTGAAATTACACTCAACAACAGTGTACAGGTGAGACAACTTAATAACACCCACAAAATGCTTTCCTGAAGAAGTGTACCCAAAAAAGCTTTTACTAAACCTCTCAGAGCACTCCCTGTAAACTCCACATATCATTACAGGGATAATTGGAACTTACTACTCATGTTTTCTTCCCTCCACTAATTTCATAGTTATAGTGATATCCTAACAGCACTTCATTGATGGGTTGCGTTTAGTTGATGCCACCATTATTCACTATAATTAAGCTAGGAATAGACTCCAGCTGACAGAAGAGCATATATCCAAACAGGGCATGATATGAAAATAAATCAAATAATTGTAATGAGACAAACCTCGGCAGCTGCTCCTTCGTCATATTTGTACCCAAGTTTTTCTAAGATTTCATGTATGGCAGTCAAGTCCGATCTCAAGCAAGCTTCACCAAGAGGAGATAAAGACATAGATTCACCATTCACTGGTATACCCATTAATACATGAGACGGAACCTGAATACCAAGTTTCCATAACTTCAATTAGTCACGTTATCTAGTTAATCAAATAATCCATTACAACATGCTTATCAGATGAGAAAACATATCGAAATGACTAGATGAACCCATAAGGCGTAAACAATGCAGAAAACTAAACAGACAAATATAAATAGTGCAACTGTTAAAGACTTCTTTAATATGAAAAGCAGCCTCAAGTCTCCTCGGGCTAAATATAACTTCTCTGTAACTTGAAACCCAAAACAAAGGGGAACAGAGAAGAGAATATAAGAGGAAGAAGATAGTTCATATGTGATGGCTGACCAGATCAGGCACACAAGTGGAGAGCCAACCCTTAATTCGTGCAAGAGCTCGTCAAACCTTAATACGCACCACAAACGAACCTGATTAAATTATGAACACATACATGTGCATCAGAAATAACTCAGGACAGCTTTGACTTGTAGGGTTTTATCAATTCATCAAGTTTATCAAGTGGCGAAAATCAAGATCATAACAAGAATCTATACTATTTTCTTCCAATTATTGGGGGTAGTTTTACACAGCTAATAATTTGCACAGCTAATGATGAAGTACCTTTTAACTTTTTAAGTTTGTTTAGTAAGCAAATTTGTCAAAAACATTTAAACTAGATTTGAGCCAACATCTCTGTAAATGGACACTTCTCCACTACCCATGACCATCTTTGGTGCAAAAGTAAATGTAATGCTTGTAATCTATTGTTTTCCAGGACTAGGAGTGACTTTTCAGATAGAATATACTCTCAAAAAATCTCAAAAAAATTAACAAACTTGGTTACTAACAGTCTGATAGAGGGACCTAAGCTGTGTGTTCCACTTATCCACGGCAGTGTATTTCTTCATCCCCTTTGACCTGCATGCAAAACATTACAAATGTGAAATATAGTGTGGAAAAAAAAGTCAAAAACCAATAAAAATCAGAAGAATGGCGGTATTTAAAATAATACTCTGTAATAATGAATAGATAAATAGGAAAACAAATATGGAATGTCCTTGCAGCTCCTTCACTGTACAAGAGGACACTGATCTCTATCTAATCACCTTGGATATGAAAGGGATCCGAATTCTTGTGTAAGGCTTGATCAGTTTGAGCAATACTTGAGTCCTCACATTCCTCATAAGATCTTCAAGGTAATTTCGTATAAAAGGATCATCCATTATTGTCCTTCTATTACTCTGAAGAAATTTACAAAATTAGTTTAAACTAATCACAGCCGCATTTACCTCGTATTTGTTACGGAACTTGTTGTTCATAAAGTGAGTGATGATACTGCTTTTGCCGACAGACTCGTCTCTTAAGATGACGAGATTGTACCTGGCACTGGCGAGGACGGGAAACTGTCGTACATAAAGCAAGTGAGTGATGATACTATGAGCTCATAGGCAGGGAGTATTTCTACATTATATTGTTTGACCTATCCAATGATTACTAACAACAAGAAGAACCATTAGTTGCAGAATCAGCAGAAGCAAAATGTGTTTTTCTTGCCTTGGTATCATCCAGGTACTTCTGATATATGTCCTCCTTGGACAATACTACATTTACAAGACCAGACCAGCTACAGGGCATCGTACTTGTAGAACCATCGATGCCTCTCAGTCCCTGTCGTACAACGAGCACTCTCTCTCCCATCTCTTGCACTGCAACAACGAGCATTCCACCGCCAGTCTCTGATTCTCCTCTAGTCACATATGATAGCACTAGTCATCAGCAACTAGAACAATCATAAAAACATCAAAACAAACTAATTGTTAAACTTGGGAGAAGATTGAGAAACCACAAAGACATGAGAGCAAGAACTGATCATGGAACTTGCATTTTAGAGATACTATCTTTTCAAGAAACAGTAAAGTGACATACTGACATCTGCTAATACAATTACTATAGAATACTAGAACTACCAAAGATGTTTATTACGAAACAAGTTTTTTTCACTTTTGGTTCCTCTACTATAATACCCCTTCCAAAATTAGGTCCCCGACTATCAAGATTTTTAATGTTTGTGCATGAATATTCAATTTCTTCATCCTTAGCTCAATTTCTCGGGCAACCTAAGCCTCTGGAAAATTGAGCTGATGACAAAATGTGAGAGCAATTGAATAGTCATGCACCAAAATTGGGGGTATCATAGTCAAGTAACCAAAAGTGGAAAAAACTCTTAGAAAACTAAACCATTATTTAACTAAATTATTTAACTAAATTAGAGGTCCTGGTTAATTATTTTCAGCCCCCACCCCAATCTCATGCTTATTGTATCTGCAGTTAAGGTTCCTTAAGTAAATACTCGAAAACCCTAAAAGAAGAATCATCTAGAAATGAGAAATTACACTTCAATTCCCAGGTTGAAACCTAGCTCGAAACAACTATTATCTGCTAAAAAAGAAAACAGATATCAACAATCTCTGTCTAAACAGAGCTAATTTAGTCCACGAAGCTCTGGATCCAACTAAATCCAAGCTAAACGCGAAGAGGCAGATCAAGCAAAACACATAAATTCATTTCAATAACATTGGCACCCCAAATGAATTGAGAAAGAAAAGGACGAAGAAAGCAGAAAGAGAACCTCATAGGTAGTGCCTTCGGCGGAACCGGCGGCGGCTGAGAACCACAGTGGTGGTGGCGACGTCAGTGGCAGGCGTCGTCGACAGTACGTGGAGGCGTCGTTTTCGGCTGGGTCTGGTCACCGGTAGCTAACGAGAAGAAGAGAAGCGTCATGGGTGGTTGATGAGAGTGGTGCTTGAGTCCTTAGCTTGGTGTCAGCGGTGGCATTTGATCGGGGCTGAGGGAGCGTGGTGAGAGAGGTGGTGTCGACGGCGGAGGTGCGGTCAGTGAGGAGCGACAGCAGAGAGTGTTGGAGAGGTGTGAGAGCGAGATCTGGTTTGTGAAAACTGAAGAGGCGTTGAAGGTTTTTGTTTTGTTGTTTTTTTTTTCTTTTTTGCTTTTTTTTCTTTTATTTTTTCCCGATCTGGTTTCCGTGCCCTTTCTAAAAGAAAGGGTAGCGGAAAGTCTATCCGCTTTAATGAACCGCTTCCCTTTTTTAAAAAAGGTAGCGGTTTCTTATTCATTTATTTACAATGATGCCACCGCCCTATTTTTTTTTAAGAATACACTACCTTTGTTTAAAGAAGGGTAGCCTAAAGTCAGATTTCTTTGCTCCATTTTGTACTAGTGACACAAGTATTAAACCCAAATAATAATATATTAAAGAAACTGAGAGCTCAGGCACATAGGTTCATAAACACTTTTACCCAAGAATCTCTAAAGAATTTAGCCAAGCATGACTAAATTATACATAGCAAATATAAATAAAGAATTACAAATCATCAAAAGAGTACAAGAATTAACCAGACGATTTTCCCAAATCTCCCTAGTCTTCTTCTTGCTTTCCAAGACAACTTGTGGCTCTTGATTTCTCTCCTTCTTGTCTCCAAGAATCTCTGAATTCTCTCGGTCTCTCGGTGTCTTATTAGGGTTGAGGAAGGAGGGATTTTATAGTGGGTACAAAGTTGAGATGAAATAGGAATCTTGTACAAAAATTGGACTCAAATTATAATTCCTATATTTAAATAAAGAAATTGCCGTAATTAATTTGGAATTGAAGTTGAATTGGGATTTGGAATTGAAGTTGAGGATGCTGAAGCCAACGCCCTTTTGTATTAAGCTGGCGACTTCGTGCGTCGCTCGACGCGTCGAGCCAAGTCTCGACGTGTCGAGACCAGCAGGTCTCGATCACAAAACATTCTGGAAATTTTCGACGCGTCGAGCCTTTGGCTCGACACGTCGAGTCCTCTGGGCCCCGAACTTGTCCAAAATTGCTCCAAACTCATCCTTGAACTTCCCTTGCTCATAGAATTGACCTACAATGGTTCAAAAACACTAACAAACACCGTAAAACATTCAAAACAAGTGTGAACCATAATTAAATGATAATAGCAAGGAAAACATGTTTTAAATAAGCAAAATTAAAGAACTTAAATACTAAGATGATTCAAAATAACTATAATAACAAGCAAAGATGCGATAACATCACCCCCTCACACTTAAGCTTTTGCTTGTCCTCAAGCAAAACTAAGGAATAAAATCACAAGTCAAAACATACAAATTACTCATGCTCTCTCTTGCACAACCTTTCAAACCACCAACCAACTTGCTACAAAACAACAAGCTTCAAGAATCAAATTAGTTTGGCACATAAGAGACCCATTTCCAAGCCAATAACCAAGCACCAAGAATTTAAAGTATGTGAGGATCAAGTGTGTACAAGTACTCAGTTGAGATTACGCAGGACACGGTTCATGAATGAGATCCCATAGGCTTGCCTTTCATACTCCCCTAGATCAAATCTAAGAATTCATGCTAAGATCAAATAGGACTTTATTTAGCTTGTAATGGGGCTACGGGTGATAGCTAACAAAGAAGTGGTATGGAAAAATTAATCAAAAAGAGAGAATGTCACAATTTATCTAAACTTTTCAAAATTTGGAAGAGATGAGATAATCATAATTTCAAGGAGCAAATTTCTTTTAAGAACTTAGCAACTCTTTGGTAAAGTGGGGATCCAAACTCAAGAACTTTCAATCTTTTTTTTTCTCATTCTTTTCTTTGTCTTTGGACTTCTTTTGGATATAGCAGGATAATTTTAATCCAAACTTTCATGACCTCCACACTTGAAGATTTGTAACACTAGCTGTTTTTTTTTTTTAGCACAACTCCATAAAACTCTTCTTACGGAAAAGATACAGATAAAAGTTTCATTCTCTCAAGGGTGGAAGGGAAATATTTGGCCATGGGCTAAGGGTTTAATAATGGGGTAAATCAAAGAAAAACAATCACAAAGAGGGGATAAGTGCCTAGCACTTATTTGAACAAACAAAAGGCACAATGGGGACACGAAGGATAAAAATATATATAGGGACAGGTTTAAAAGCTATGGCTAAACAAAAATGGCCTAAATCACTTCAAAACATGCAAAACTTAGACATCACTTAGGGAGTAATGAGGCAACCTTCTAGCAAAACACCCATGACCGGAATCTCACATAAGCCTTCACTAGCAATGCAAAACACAAGATCAAGAATTAATCCAATTATTAAGTGGTTAACAAAGTTATTGGCAAGGGAATAGATCAAATATGTGTTACACCTCAAATCATCCATCACAAATTGAGATGCAGCAAGCACCACTAAAACAAACCACAAACCAACAAGAGAGAATAATTGTAACTGCATGCTAAGACAAGTAACTTATTCACCAAAAATAGCATATGAGTCATCCAAGCAAATTAAAAAATTTAGAAATATCCCCAAATTAATGATTCCTCCCCCTCACACTTAAAACTTTGCATCATCCCTGATGCAAAATAAAAGAAAAGGAGAACAAGAGAAAAGAGAAAACTAAAAAGCAATAAAATAATCACGAACTAGAAAATAATAAAACTAAATAAGACGAAACTAGAAAGCAATAAATAAATAGGGAAAGTAATAAAAGATAACATGGGGTGCCTCCCATGAAGCGCTAAATTTAACGTCGTTAGCTCGACGTTACCTCTCTAGCCATCAAGTGATTGGAGAAGAAAAATCCCCTTCTTTCCATCAACTTTCTCTTCCAAGTATTTCTTCAAGTGGTGTCCATTTATAAACTCTCTTAAGCTCGAACCCTTCACGTCATCATGTAAGGAACCACATTTGCCCGAATCAAGAATTATGCCTCCATTCTCTTTTCCTTCTTTTTCAACACTCTTTTGTTCAACAAGTAATGAGAGTCTCGGATCATTCACATGAACCAGCAAGTATTGAGAATCATTGGATATATAGATAGGCAAATGTGTGCCATTATCCTTAAGAACTCCAATGCCTCCCAAATTCAAAATTTCTCTGAAGTTCTCTCCAAGGGAAGTGTTCTCCATTGGTGAGACATCCTCATTCAAATCATGTGCTCCATTAAGAACTTCCTCATCTAATGGGCAACTCTCTATATGTTCCTTGCCATCATTACCTTGCAACTCTACATTTTCCTCCCAGCTTGGTGTCTCCATCTCAATGCATTTATCAAATATTTCTTCATCTCCCTCTCTAAGATCCTCATCATCCTTTTTATTTCTCTCAACTTCATGACCTTCATTTGGCAAGAGCAACTCTTCTAGAACCTCTTGATGTTATCACATCTGTGCTTGTTTTTATGGTTATTTTGAATCATCACAGTAATTAAGCTCTTTAATTTTGCTTATTTAATACATGTTTTCCTTGCTATTATCATTTAATTATGGTTCGCACTTG